CAAAAATTATTGTGGACAGCGCGCATGCAAGTCAAAATACATGCTTTGCTCTATCACATTCTGGCAGAAACAGCATTTCGTTCACCTCCCTCTTCAGAGTAAATGGTTTTAATGCTGTTGAGATTGACGATAAAGTTTCAGCATTCACAAGTATGATCATGCGTATTCTTGATAAAACGCTGCCCAAACGTACTGTACGTTTTCATCCTTCAGATAAACCTTGGATGACCCCGCGTATAAAGCAAGAAATAAAGGCCAGACAAAAAGCGTTTACGTCAGGGAACAGATCAAGATACCAATTATTATGTGACAAAGTTTCTTCACTTATATCTAGTGCTAAGAAAACGTATTATCAATCGAAAGCGGAAGATACACGTGAAACAAGCCTGGCAAAGTGGTATAAAATTATATATGAACTTGTGGCGTCTAATGATTGTAACTTCCAATCTTCAGCAGCCCCCACAGATGACCTAGCTGAACGCTTACAACAAAGTTTCACCAAGCCTTGGCAGAGCACCACTCCTAATGAAAAACCAAAACTAGAGGAAATTGAACATTTACTCAAGGATACCAAGCCGCTGTTACCTTCGATTGGACAAATTAAGGCAATTCTCAAACACCTAAACCCTAAGAAAGCAAGCGGTTCGGACGACATTCCTGCATGGCTACTGAGACGTTACAGTGGAGAGCTTGCCCCTATTATTCATAATATCATCTGCTCTAGTAGCATTTCCCAGTCTAAATACCCGACTCTCTACAAGCACGCATTGGTCACCCCTGTGCCCAAAGTATACCCCCCAAATGATATTGACAATGATTTCTGGCAAATCTCTGTATTACCGCAAATGGCAAAAATCTTGGAAACCATACAACTTAAACTGAATAAAAATGACCTTAACATCAAAGATAATCAACATGCATTTACAAAAGGAAGATCAACAGTATCTGCGTTAGCGAGTATTACCCAAAATTTGTACAATAAGACCGAAAATTCACGGGATGGAAGAATGGGAATTCATGCCTTATTTATTGACTTCGTAAAGCTTTCGATATAGTTGACCATGGTTTGCTCCTAAGAAAATTAGCTGAAATGAATGTGTCTAAATGCTTTTGGTTATGGACGAGGAGTTTTTTAGAAGGAAGAAGCCAGCGAGTAAAAATAGGTGCCAGTTTATCATCTATTAGGTCCTGTCCTTCTGGAGTCCCTCAGGGCTCTGTCATCTCACCAACAATGTTTAATGTCTATGTTAACGATCTTGAAGATTGCATTCCCAACCATTTGCAGATTAATACATACAAATATGCAGATGATTGCACACAGGATGAGGCAATCTCATATTGCTCCAATGGCAACATGCAAACGGTGTTAGATGCAACGAATGACTGGGCACTTAGAAACAAGATGGAACTTAATATAAAAAAGACTAAAGATATGTGGATTTGTTTCAAAGAAGGAATTCCTGCAACACCTTCACTTATGATTGGTAATGATACAATTGAAAGAGTAAAAACGTTCAAGCTGCTGGGCCTTTGGTGTAACGATACCCTTAAATGGAACACACACGTTGAAGAAATTACAAAAAAGGCAAACAAACGTTTATTCCACCTCCGGGAATGCCGCCGAGCAAACCTACCGACTGAAGTAGATTTAACTTGTTATTTCAAAAAAATTAGGCCGGTTTTGGAATATGCAGCCCCAATTTGGAGTGGTTTACCACAATATTTAATAGATGAGGTGGAGAACATTCAAACTCGAAGTCTAAAAATACTTGCTTTGCCGTTTGATCCATTTCAGTCTCTTGAACAGCGTCGTGACATGCTCGCCATACATGAATACAAGAAAATTATGGATAATGAGACGCACCCTTGCAGGAAATACATTACCAGATATTGTGACGACAACATATGATCTAAGAACTCCAAGAACTCTACCGCAGTTCTTCTCTCATACCAATAGGCATAAACTTTTATTCCAAGGACTAATGCACTATTATAGACATAATTTTAAAATCGTAAATTTATTATATTTGTATATATACATACATTTTAATCATATTTAGTAATTGTAAATCCATTGTAATTTTATACCTAAGATGGATAAATAAATTATTATTATTATTAAAAAAAAATTATTATTATTATTGTACGGGGGGGGGTGCGAAGGTTCAAAACATGCCAAGGTTTGCATAAGATTATTAATATTTTAGTTCTCCACTAGTTGTCCACATAATTTTTGCCTTGATTGTAGATTTATGGCAAAATAAATTATTTTTTAAGAAATTTTTTCCTTATTTTCGAATTGTAGAAATAGTAATCAATCTTGCTTGTTTCTATTAAAAATGATATTATGATATATTATAAAAAAGATACTTTCTGGATGAAAAAAATTAACTGCCTAATTTAATCAACGACAATGTTCGCAATCAGCGTGATATTTATAAAGAAAATAATTTGTGCTTGTATTTCTTACTTCTTTAACCTATAACGTATATAAAAAAGCAATCATTTACCGTTTATTTTTAAAACTTAGGTGCAAAATTGGAGATTGATAGAGCCAACTTTAAAATATTAACATTTTCGTCTTTCAAACACATTTTTCCCTTACTTTAGAGTTGAATTACACTTGCCAGAGCAATTTGCATGGCGTGTGAAATGGGTAGACAGGGGACAGCAATTTCCAAGAGTTCCTCTGCAAGTTCTATAACTGTATATCTTTAGTATTTTTCTTATTTAAATGGAACTATGGAACTGTAAGTAAATATAGTTTTTGGTAGAACTTTACCTTTTCTGGATTGGCTATAACTTTCAGCACAAGGCTGAGAATAATTTGTGCATTGGGATAACTTCCTTTAAATTTTGCTCTTTATCACTGCATTCTTCCATCTTGCTTTGACGGCCTCAGACCAGGTCGAAATATTATGGCAGTACTATGTTCTGCATACATTCTTTTAATTCAGCCATAAATCTCAGAATATGTAGGATAAACTGATACATATCCCCCTATGAACAGTTATTGTACGAGATTTTGACATTGATTTCAAGCTAACTACATATCTGACAAATAATATGAAATAAAGATTACATTGTTATGAGCAGAAGCAATGCTAGGAACTGATTCGACTCTACTTTAGCCCTGATATTTATTAAAAAACTCACTACATATCATTTTTACTTTCTCTTCGTCAAGTTTGGGTTTTGCATCCTTCTTCTTGAACGCATTTGACACTTTCGAGTGAGTGCAGAGGACCTCCCTGCTCCACATCATTCCCATAATGGAATAAACATAATCTCTTAACTTGGTTTTTGATCTCAGTACTTTATGCTGGGCCTTACTAATGTTTACATTAGGTCCAAGGAATATCTAGAAAAAATCACATTTATAAACTTTTTAGGTATATAAATGATATTAATAAGATTTGTAACAGAAGATTTGGAACAAAAGAGTGGGAGTAAAAACCGAATATAAAAAGGGAAAAGGATTGAAATTCATACACACATCTGAAAACTGAACAAGAGGAACATTGTATTAATGGTGCACTTGAGAGGACACTGACATATTTTCCATCTTTTAATTTGTCTACTTGTAGTCCGTAGCACGGAATTTGTAGGGCGCTTAGATTTTGACATGAAGTCCTCAAAGATTGGACTAAGAATTGATTACAGACACTTATACATATGTATTAGTGCAATCAGAAAATACAATGTTTTCGGTGTTATTGTCTCTCTATTAATTAGTATTAATTAGGAATTAATTAACGTTATCTGAGCTTCTCTGTTCAAGAAAATAGACCCTTTTCCCCAAATTATTAGCTTATGCGTGTGTTTCAATCAAAACAATGAGAACAGTTTACATACGAATTACACTTTGGCACACCAACATGGCCGCCATGAGTCCATGCCGCTTATAAGCTATTTGTCATATGACCACCAAAAGATGCACATTTTAACGGTATATTTCAAAATTACAAACTCACGGACGTGGCGATAAATTATGCAATTGCATGCAATCATAATGTGATTTTTAGTTTTATAAAAAGAAACGCAAGCGTCAAAGCCAATCGGCAAAACCTTTTATTAAAAAGAAATTCAAGCGTCAAAGTCGGAATCACTGTCATCACCATTTAGAATGTCGTCGACAACATCTGTCACAAGGTCCGAAGGGACTTCTTCACCATTCTCGCACCCAGTGCATTTACAAAGAGGCCCACATCGCATGTTTCGAGAAAAACACGAACACAATCGGGTAGAGCATTTTGTCTTGCGACATGAGCAGTAAATTTGCTCAAGTAGCTCTGGGGGAGCTACGGCAACGGTCATCCACTGAACTGTTAGTTGGGATTCACCGTCAGAGGCACTCCAGCCATGGCCAATAGGACTTGGAGCATTTATCACCGCTTCCAATGATCTCCGTAGTATGGCAGCCTGGTAATTTGCCCTCTTTGTATGCTGGGTGACTTCATCCATGATCGGGGGTAGCCTGGAGTCCAAACAGAATTTTTCCATGAAAATTCTAAGTCGAACTTCTAGCAACGAAGGTAGAACACTCTGACGGTTGTACAGCTGGCAGAGAAACTGCTCTAGAACATCCATTTGAAGATTTGAAATAGACCATTCCTGTCCAAGCTTGGTAAAAGCGGAGATGTATGACGGGTTGCTGATCATAAGTTCATATGGGGTAACTTTTCCCTTTCCTTTCCAGCAGCTGACGCTGTCACAACCAGTGAATGGATGTAATCCCAGCAGAGCTTCTGCCACCCCATCTTTTAAAGTGCTGACTACCGATTCGATATCCACTGTTCTCAACTTTGCTGCTGGACCGCGTTGAATAAACAGTTTACCAGGAAAAAGTTTATAGAGACCTATGCAAATGATAAGTACATCTGTGTCATCTGACTGGATCGTAACTTCTTTGTGTTGTTGAAAGGCGTGCAAAGCATGCAATCCCATCCTCGTGTCAGCTTCTTCGTGATCGGAAAACAAGGCATCTACGGATTCAACCGTCAAGACCGTTGCTGACGCCTTAAACTGTGTGACAACTGACAGGCATGGGCGAAGTACAACTCAACCCCTTGAAGAAAACTTGGATCGACTGTCTTCCAATGTTCAAAGAAAAATTCGATTAAGCTTTCCTTGTTTTTCCCCACCGAGAGGAATTTCTTGAATTGCTTTGGGGTCTTCTTTGAACCATGGTCAACATTTAAACGGATAACAGAAGCATCCTTTCCCTTTCGCCTCTCTCTCTCAGCACCCTTAATACTTGAATCTGGATATTGGTCAGTAACAAAATCGACCCTGGTGCAACGATGTCGAGTAGCTGTAGCTATCACACTCTTCAGTACTTCCGCGGATAATGCATCGAATGTGTTGGGAATGTTCTTCAGACGTTGAATTAGAGCCATGGCATCAATTATCCACGCAGTAGAACGATTCGAATTGCTTACGTCTTCAACATTGCTCTCTAGGTGACGACCAATAGCAGACTTGTCAGTCTTGGCTAACGTTCCGTCATAGTTGGCAAGCGACAATGGTACTGGACACAAAGGATAAGAAAGCACGTACTTGAAGTCCAAGTTATTAAACTTCGCGACTATCAGAACTCGAGCAAGATCCCTCGCTGTGGTTTGTAACACCGCCTTTTCCGATTTTGCCTTAACCGTCTTACTCGTTAATGAGAACGTTTTTAGTTTGAGTGCTTTGATTGTGTTAAAAACATCCAGCTCCTTTTTCTTCAGACGTAGATCTATGTACTCAGCGCATTGTTCCTCTCCAGCAGTTTTGGCTCGTGCAATATCGTGTTTGACCTCCGGTGATGCAATTGCGCCAGAAACAATGTTGACCAACTCGTCATCCTCGATGGAAACTGGGTTTGTCATTGCTTCTATGGTATTGATCACACTCTTTACAGCTTTCTCATCCTTTAGCCTCCGTGTGATATCCATTTCCTTTCTCTGACGTGTACAATTACCGCGACCAGCCATACTCTCACATACAGATTGAATCTCTGCTCTATCAGAAAAACTTTTAATCCATCGGTGGACAGCAGATTTGTTAATTGAGAATCCAATAACACCGCCTTTAGTTTTGGAATTCTTATTTAGTGTCTGCTCGAGAGTTTGATCCATTGGAGTCTGACTGAATGGCTGAGACGTGCGTTGGGTTGCAAAATTTCCAGCAACCATTTGCTCATGAATATCTGGATTACTGGTTGGCAGGTTTAGCATTTCTAACCAGTATATTGGTAGGTAACGAGAATAGTGAACGCGGTCGTACGCAAATATCCAGGGTAACATGCGTCGAACCGAGCTGAGATGCAAGGACCAATCACCCACTCTGGAGATACAAATAGAAACAGAATTATATTTTGCAGCGTATAGTTTTGCAATCGGTTCGAACTACATGACTTGTATAATTAAAAAGGACTATTAATCAATAAAATGCATGAAAGAAAGCATGATTACTATTTAGTCCACTAACCTAGTTGCCCTTACGAATTCCAGTAGTATATCTACCATTTCAAGGAAACTTAACCAATAACCAAAGGTTGGATTTGACCCCCCTCTTTCACTGGTAAATTCATGTAACTTTCTCACGAAATTTTGGACATCATCACTCTTTACAAATTCAGTAAATGTTCCATTACTAAAAGCTGCCTTCATATCGTGTACTACATGTTCCAAACAATTTCTCTCATCAACGGACATGGAATCTAAAAAGGCAGTGATAACGAGACGGTATATTGCCTCATAGATGATTTTCATTGATCTGATACTACGGTTGTAGTGTTTTCCTGACAATACACCGTTGACAGATCCTTTTGCGATGATATTGCTTTCAATGAGAATATCGCGTAAACCACCGTCTTGAAATCGTTTGCCAATCACTCCGAGAAAGCTCATAATGACATGGAATTCACCAAGGCGTAGTACTATTCGACTCTGAAACATGCCTTTGGTCCAACGGATCCACTGTGCTTTAGCATAAACAGCTTCATCCATGACAACAACCATGGAATTTTGGTTCAGTTTGTCTGCTATGTCTATGCTTTGGGAGAGGACAGCGTTGACGACGCCAAGATCCGTGGGACTGCCATCAATAATTGGAAGATAGCCAATACGACTTTTCTCAGGAACCTGCGTTGTGAGCTGTGTAAAAAATCCACTCCATGACGGTAAAGGTGTTTCTTCCTCTTCATCACAGCGAAATTTTGCTAGAACGTAGCAAATGTTATCAAAACCAACAGGTCTACTCTATCTATGTCAGTAACTTCAAATCTTGTAGACAGACTCAGCTTTTTCTTTAAGACGAATGGCTCTATTTCTGTACTTGACACCTCTACTCGTTTCCCTCTTGACTTGGAAATTCCGTGACGATTTTCATCATCTAGTACAGAAGCTTCGGACATCCGTTGAATAACTATACCAGTGGTGCAATGTGTTGTTCCTTTTCCACTCAGTGTTTCTTCGTTTATGTCATTGTTGTCAAATACACATGTCGTAAATGACCCACTAAAACCACGTGGTATAACACTGCTTTGCTGTGCACGGTATCTGGCAAGATCTGAGTCGTAATCAATGACTGCCTTTGGGGATATACAATGCCCCAGTCCTGATACAATGTCAATTAACTTTGAACTGCCCGTAAGATGTCGAATTGTAAGGCCAAGAATAAGATGCTTCGGTACGATTCTTCTTCCTTTGGACTTAAGGTAGATAATGTCCTGACAGATGGACAAAATCTTTTGACGTTCGGTGTCGTTGTCAAGCTCTACCAATTTTTTTTCACTAGCAGAAACTGGTTCACAGCATACACCAGTTATCCAAGCCAAGAAATTGAACAGTTCAATTGGCACAATTTTTTGTGCAGCATCTTCTGTGAGATCGGAAGCTAACGGGGGGTTTGGAACATTTAATCGTGGAGACATCTCAATAGCTTTCTTCACAATTTGGGACGAGAGGAATAATTGTCGCTGGTCGTTGGGTTCTAAATTTCCCATAGCACGTACTTCATCTTCGTCACTAGATTCCTCTGTCGATTCAGGGGCAACAAACATAGTATTTTGTTCACAACTGCAAACCAGCTCACAGTTTGCAATTTCTTTGACTTTGATATAAACCAAAGATGGGAATGATTTCTTCAACTTCCGCTTCAAGTTCCAATTTGACAAATAAGATGCATCTGTGTCTGGCTGCAAATATCTGCTGTAAATTTCTGCCAATTTCGAGATCTTTATTATTTCACCACCACCAATAATACGTTCTTGAATGATTTCACTACAGAATTTCAAATAAGCATCTCCAGTTGATATTTTGGATTCTACTGGAATATATGTGAACGTTCGAAAGCAGGAATGGTGATACTGGGCTTCCTTTGCTATTAAATCTTCCCCTTCAACAATAAGCAGCACATTCTCATCCTGTTTCTTCTGAGCAGCAACTTTGACAGCATTTTCTGCACTTGGGGACATGCACTTGGTCAATGGTTCTGGCTTATAAGCCCCTAAGACAAAAGTAACTATTGAACAGATGACAGAAGCAATGCTCAGTGGATATGACAGAAACAATGGCATAACTATAGGACGCATATTTAACATTCTCTCAGAAAATTTAGGAATCACGCTAGCTGATCATGCCCATATGACCATGCCTATATGTTGACAAATGGGCATTAGACAAACATGTACAATGGACATATAGTGCAGCAATAAAATGTTCTAATTAGGAAAAAATTATAATACATCAGTGAAAAAAAGTTTATTCAAATAGACAATAAAAGTTTTTTATTTGTTTTTTTTTAATAGACAATAAAAGTACAGCAAATAACAATTGCTTTTCAGACTTTATAATAATACCTATAATACCTGTTCTACTATCTTTTTTGTATTTTTCCTTTTGGCAGATAATGCATTTTTTTCCAAATAATGGCACTGTTCCTTTAACAATCTGGCTTGTGGTATCTTGACTTAGTCTTGTCTTCTTTCTGAAATACCAGAGCCTTTTTTAAGAATTTAAAGTGGGGCATGAAGGGGCTGCAAGGAAAGGAAACCCAGCATCAGGTGGTGAACATGGGAAGCCTTAACTGACACTGGGATTTCCAGAATTGAACCCCAGAATTGAACCTTGTTGCTGTGGTTTCCTACATATAATTCCCATCTTTAATTAATTCCCATCTAAATACATTGAATGAAGATTTGTAGTTGTATGTCCCACATGAGTTGTAATTGTATGTAATTTAGTCATAAAATTATAGAGACCAACTTGGCAATAGTTTTGCTATGCAGAAAAATGAGAAAATATTAAATTCGCAAACAATTTAATTACCGTGTATGGATCAATTGCTTAATTATTATTTTAGTATATACAGAAAAAGCATTGCATTATATAATATTCAGCTGGTAACAATTGAGAAATACCTGGGAATACTTTCATTACTTTCATCGACAAACTGACTACTTCTCTTCTTTGAGGATTTTAGATTTTTCTTATTTGTGAAAAGCTGGTAGCACTTCCTGTGGTAACCACACGATGCAGGAAATACTTGTTCACCCCCCAAAATTTCATTAAGCAGCTTAGATGCAATATCACCATATGATCGTCCATATTCGTCTTGTGTTTTCATCCATTCTTGGGCATAATATAGAATAGTTTCGCCGGATTTCGTACTTACTTGAACAACTTTGTCGTTTGCATCACTACCTTTGTCCGAATGTACACAGCACTCCATATTTTTTTAAATAAAAGCACATTGCAAAAAGCATATTGTATTATTGTTCGCCATGTTGTCATTGTTTTCATTGTTGTGTCCAGTGGTTGTGTCCGCCGAATTACCGGAATTATTTTGCGAGATTATTTTTTTGCGGGAATTAAATGTCGAGAGCGAGTGAAAAACGTTTGTAGAATATTTGTCTTTTTTTGGTGTTTAGCGATGCGTTGCGATAGAAAACATTGTGGATTACGAAAAATAACTATTTAAACGTGATATATTAAAACAGTTTTCATAATCCGAACGAGTGAGGACTTCAATAAGCGCGTACGGATTCCGTGCTACGGACTATTGCTTCCGCAAATCACTGTTAAGAGCAGGTAGAGATCGAATTTCTAAACAGTAAGCATAACATGTTACTGCGGCAGAAAAACAGGTCAGAAGGACCTACCCACCGATAAACATGAATAACAAGAATACTATAGTACCTTTAAGATTGTACATAATGGAATGCAAATGGCAATTTCTTTATCCTTTTTGTCAATTTGGTTCTGGAGAGATTCTGGTGGAGAAGCCATTTGAGCAACCAAAGGGTAAAATGATTGGATTAGTTTGGCAAAAAAATGTAGACAACTGAAATGCGAAGACTTCTCCACGCTTTGTTTTAAAGGATATACAAGCTGTGAGAGAGAGATATGGCATACTTGAAAAAAAGTTAAAAAGCAAGACTCGTGAGAAAATAAATGCGAGTGGTATCAGCGTTGAGGAACCAGACGAATTCTACGTTATGATGGAGGAAATAATTGGCTTGTTTGAAAGCAATGAAGAGCGTAGAGAAAAGGAGAAGGAAGAAAAATGTGGGAGTGAAAAAGCGTAGCGGAAGATACAAGACTTAGGGCTTTAGAAACGATCAGTGAAACAAGAAGAAAGAGAATGGAATCTGATGATGATAGCGATCTGCCTAGTGTGTCTAGAAAACAAAGGGCAACCTTGGCATATTTTAAAGAGAAACACAGAAATGATCTAGACATAAAGCAGCAGGAAATCGAAGTACGAAAGCAGGAAATCGAGCTCAGAAAATCAGAGTTGGAGATACAAAAGGCTCAGAACGAAAACCTAATGAAGCTTCTTGTTGAATTAGCCAAGAAATGACAATAACTGGCTTTTGCCTATTTTACTAGTTGTGTTACAGTTGACAGAAGTCCTTTGGATTAAGTCTTATTTCATAGATTTTTTAAAAGCATTGAACAAAGTAAGTTACTAGATGCTTGTCATACATGTATGCTAATTTTATGCCAATTTTAAGTAATAGGACTTTCAAACTAATATTTTATGTATTCATTTATTTATTTATTACACAGTTATTTATTAACAAAATATTTAAAATTTATCTTCCAGATTATTATTCAATATAAGTCTTAATACTTCAATACTAGAGCTAGGCAACAAATTTAAACGATTGTACAGTGAATAATCATTTTCATGTCGATCATTTGCAGAGATAATTTATTGCAAAACTGGATTAACAAGTATTAATAAAAAATCATCAGTTCTCATCCATTATATATTTGTGACCATGCAAATGTTGCCTTGTGACTAAAATTTCCACCTATTACAACTATGAGAATAGGTCAGGTATTGTTTGGAGGGGAAATACCAAATGCTTCAGAGACAATGTTTCCATAACAGCATGCCAATGCATTTTCTAAAAGAGCAGCTGTAATATAATATTTACCAATGGGGCTTAATCCTAAGCATAATTTCTTTTAAAATCAAGAAATTTGAAGAATGTTGCTATTTGTCCAAAAAGCCATTCAACGCTGATTCTCACAGAACTCGTTAACCTATTATACTCTTTCATTTCGTTGTAATGCACATGTCATCGGCCATCCACTGGATGGGGACCCCGGGCTGTCTGTATTAATTATGGGGGCTTATGAGGGAGATTGATTCAATATATTGCTGTGGGACCAGGGGAATTTCGAGAGTTTGTTCTAAGAGCCACCCATGTAGCGTGGGGGAAATGACGGGGATTGAAAGGTGACTTTTCGTTGAGACTTGATATAACATGACGTATTTATACAACCGTACATTAGCTCGTTCGTTCTCGTCACATGTTCTCGTGGACTTTTTGTTCTTGTTGATAGTGGCTGCGACTATTGCGAACGTATTTTAAAGCAAATTTTTTTTTTTTCGAAGTTTTTAAATAATATATTGAAAGGTTTCTGTTGTATTGCGCAAATGGACAATGTTTATAAAGAAGTGAAGCAAACTACACAAGGTACGCTAAGTTAACTTTTATGGAGCATGGAGCTACTACAAAAAGTAAAAGTACTTTTTTTTTATTATTAATTAAACCAATGATTATGAAATTTAAATTAGTCACAAAATAAAAAAAAAAATTAAGGAAGTTTTTATGGCTAAATTTGACCTTTTAGCCTTTATAGTGAAAGTAGTTGTTAATACTTTTAGTCTTTACATTATGTTTATATATAAGAAATGTCTTGATGTTTTCAGCTAAAAAAGTTCAACAAACTCTTCAATTCTCTGACAATCAACTGACACTTGGGCCTCCACTTCAGGTATTAAATGTCTATCAGTCTATAGAGCCAATAGTGGGGAGCATTGGGGGTACCTAGTACCACAGGGTTTTCAATTGACTATAGTGTCACAGTTTTCAAGGAAAACACTATATTGTCTATATATATAATATATATAATAATAAATTAAGACCAATAATGTTAAACAGTAGTTGTTTTTGCTGTGTGATATTATTTTGGGTCTATATATTCCCTTTGCCTTGTGGAAGCAAAATAACATATGATTTCTAAATAGTATTTATGCCATGTTTTCAATGTTTTAGGATAGTGAGCCAACATGTTCCAAAGTCTCAGTTAGTATAAACACTGAAGACATTGAGAAAAGACCTAAAATTTTTAATGTGGAAAATCTGTCTCCTTATCAGAAGGCTGTCAATGATGCAAGTTTTGAGTTATGCAAAACCAATGGTTCGCTTTTACTAAGCAGAGGCAGGTTATTCGAATTAGCCAGACAAAAAGTATTTGATGATGGTTATAATTATGCCAAGAAACAATCTAGATCAAAATATTTTGGCAGTACCCCAGAAGCCCCAAAACCAAAGCGAAAGTATGTTTCTGAAGATATTCAAAGTTCACGTATCCAAGACATCAATGAGTCAATCTCATCCATTGCTGACACAATAAAGCTACTTTCTCAACAAAAACAACAATATGTGAATACTGAGAAATTCTTGCAAGCCGCTGAAATTAATACAACCATTCTAGAGAAAAACAAAGAAAAGCGGGATTTGGAAAGAGAATTGGATAAACT